GCCCCCGCGCTGCCCCGCCGCCCCAGGCGACAGGAAGCGGCCGAGCCGGTCGCGCCTCATGGCGGCTACCGCGGCTACAGCCCGGCCACGGCGCTCCGCCAGGTTCGGCCTGGGTAGGTTCAGCTCGGCCACGCTCGGCTTAGCTCGGTCCCGCTCGGCCCGGCTCGGCTCTGCTCGGCTAGGCCCGCCACTGCTCGGCCCCACTCGACCTGGCTCGGCTCCGCTCGGCCCCGCTCGGCTCGGCCCTGCTCAGTTCAACTCGGCTCTGCTCGGTCCCATTCAGCCTCGCTCGGCTTGCAGGGGCCGGCCGCTTGGCCCAGCTAGGTCCTGCTGGTGCCGGAGTCTCTCCTCCGCTCAGGTGGACTGTGCTCGCTCGTTTCCGCTCAGCTCCGCTGTTCGGCTCCGCTTGACTGGAGCGGGGCGGAGTGATGACGGCGAGGGGCGGAGCGAGTGATGAGGGTGAAGGGAGAGGGGCGGGACAGAGTGAGGAGAGCAAGAGCGGGGAGAGGAGAGGGGGCGGGACGGCGTGAGAGCAAGGGGCGGGGCGAGCGGTGAGGGGCGAGGCGGCATGAGGAGGGCAAGGGGCGGGGCGAGGAAGGTGAGACAAGGGGCGGGGCGGCGGGTTAAAGTGCTAAGAGGCGGGGCAGTGTGAGGAGAGCAAGGGACCGGGCGAGTGGTGAGGGACAGGGAGCTGTCAGGAGGGCGAGGGGCGGGGCGAGGAGAGGGGCGGGGCGACGAGGAAGGGAGGGCACGCGGAGGGGGCGTGAAGAGGGGCGTGGCGGTGTTAGGAAAGCAAGGGGCGGGGCGTGGCGGTGTTAGGAAAGCAAGGGGCGGGGCGAGCGGTGGGGGGTGGGGCCCGTGAGATTGGCGTGTCACAGGCGTGGAGTGAGGGCGCCGGTTGCTGCACTCGCACGCTCATGGCAACTGCGTGAGCAGGTTACTTGAGAGCTTCGCCATCCCCATCTCCTCCCCTTCGGCCCCGGGAACTGAGCACTCGGGGCGGCAGGGGCGGGGCCGCCGGAAGTGTGCCCGCGCCGGTCCTGCCTTTTCCCGCGGTCCGCTGCTCGGGCGGCGCCCGCGCCCGCTCAGGGTACGTTCCGGGCTCCGGGCTCCGGGCCGCCCGCCCCGCCCCTCAGCCGCCGCCCCCCCGCCCGACAAACCATGGCCGCTGCGGCCGGGGACGGCGCGGTGAAACCGCTGCAGTGCGCCATGAAGCTGGCCAACGGGGCCATCGAGCTGGACACTAGCAACCGGCCCCGGGTGAGGCGAGGCGAGGCGAGGCGGGGGCGGTGGCCGCGG